AAACTCCCCGCGCTTCATGCTGCTCCTGGGGTGCTCGGAGAGCTGCGTAGAGGAACGTTTGCCAAGCCAGCGTGATGCTCGTGAAATGAGGGAAAAACCAAACACGGAGGAAAAAAGGTAGGAAGTACCGAAAAAAGAGAGTCTTGCATGTTGCCTCTTTGTACTATAGAAAGTGGGGGTGTGACTGGATATCCAAACCACCTACACTGCAGGGATGCCACCCAATCGCTGTCTGTGTGCTTTGCAGAACTCCTCCCCTCTCGTTTTGGCTAAGCAGAGACCTTTAGAGAAACTGCCTGTTCTGGCTCATACAGACTGTAACATATAAAAGCTGTTAGCAGCTCCTGTGGCCAGAAGCTTCAAAACCAGCAGAGTTTTGTTCTGTGGGGGTTTGTAATAAGAGACACTCCTTCACAAAGGTTCTTAGCATCACATAGGAGAGTGCTGTATATACTGGGAGAACAATAGGCTGTATTCTTTTTTGATATTGTCCAGAGGTAAGCCATTCAGCTCAATAAGTTTGCTTTGCATGCAGTTTTATCAATGCTCATCTCATTTTGCTGAAGTTAAGATTTGAATGCTATTTCTAAGATGTCCTGTTTTCATGCTTTATGTGTTGTCTTTTGCCTACTAGTTTATCTGTGCCACACTGTGTGAAAACAATCCATGCATATGGGATAGGCATAGCCTGGGATGTATTTTTCATTTTCAGTGGAAAACATTCTGTGAGGTTTCTTGCAGTCTTCCCACTTAAGATTTGTAGTGTGGTTTATGGACTGATCTGGTGTGATAGCACTGCCACTATTTTAGGAATACTACTAGCTCTGATCACGTAATTCATGGTATAATGATACTTCATTTGGTGTGTTTGTAGTAAGAACATATTATCTCTTAATACGGTTATTGAAAATTGCTTAGTAACACATGTTCTGACTGGATTGTTTTTATGATTGAGCTGACAGACAGAATCATTTTTCTGATCACAGCCTGCCAATTCACTTTGTCTTGCTACCCAGATGTACAGAATCACATCTTTGACATCTTCTCTTCTACAGATCTGTTTTCTACTGCCCTGACTTAAAGCAGAGTACCTCTGTGGCCTATCTTTCTCCTTTGGCCCCAAAATGACAGTAATCGCTGCAATCAGTTGTGCTTTCTTATTTTCCATTCTCTGTGAAACAAGTGCATTAGTGTTACCCAACTCCACTGACCTACTCCTGTCAAACAATAATTTCACTGACATTGAGACGGCTTTGGCAGCTCATTTGGACTCTGCAAAAATTCCCAAAGCCAGGCGGAAGCGCTACATTTCGCAGAATGACATGATTGCCATTCTTGATTATCATAATCAAGTCAGAGGCAAAGTCTTCCCACCTGCTTCCAACATGGAATATATGGTAAGTGAACTTTGTTTTTTTCAGAGTAAAACAAACTGTAAGTCAGTGATTTCATTTTCTTAAACAAATTGTGAGGGTTTAGTTAAGTAGACAAATTATTTTTAACTACTATTGCTTACTAAAATGGTCTTTCCTCACATTTTTTAAGTTGCATTAACTTAAGCAAGCAAAAGCTAAATACTGAACTCTGAACCTCTGACTTGCCCTGTTGAATTTTCATTTCCATGAATAGTCCCAATGAAGCTTCTGGGACACAAGTAAATGAAGTTGTGAGTTAACTGCTTGTTGGCCTGAAGAATAGTATGTGATCACAACATGTGATTGCATGTGTTTAAAGTGCTAATCATTAGTAGCCCCATTGCTTTTTTGGAGTTCACTGAAAGTCATTGCCCTGATGTATGCAAAAAGGTGGCCAATAAACGTTTCTAATTTCTTTCACATATAGTACTTTAGGAGACAACATGGTAAAACCGTGTTTGCAAAGTAATTCACCTGACGCACTGTTTGTCTCATGTTCATGTGTTTTATTTACTGCATATTGTTTGTGTGCACCAAATACTTTTATTTTTCCCTCAAATACAATGCTGCTTTTAAATGTTTCTCTAGTATGTAGGACTTCAGTGTGCTCAAAATACTATGGTTGTGGCAGGTACCTTTTCTCCATATTGGCAAATACTCATTATGTGAATTATCTGTTCCTGCAGGTATGATAGAAGTTATTCATTCACTGTGATTTCATACTTGGCACTACTAGCTAAAGCAGCGTGTTTGCTATTTTGTGTTCCAACTTTGAATGCATGCATACTGTGGACCTCTAATGTTAAACATAGGTTGGCCAAGCAAAAAATTTTTTACCTTCTAAGTAAGGTATTCACACTGTTTTGAAAGCACAGGCAAGTTGTGTCAGCACCATAATATCTGCTTAAAGTCACAGAGTTTCTCATATGACAACAGACAGTTAACAAGTTTGAGGAACAGGACACCATCAGCTTGACAAAAAAAGGGGATAACAGTAATAACAACTCCTCCTTTTTAGCAGCTAGTGACTAACAATTTGGACATATTTCTATCACAGATGTTACCTAAATCTGGATTTGATCATGTAATCCGCTTAGCACCTCCCAGCAGCACCTCAAAATGCTGAGTGCACTCAAAATGTTGCAGGATGAAGGCTTGTTACCATACTATAGGCTGAGTTTGAAGTTTGGTTAAGTGGAAAGGTCAGAGACAGAAAAAACACAGAGGTCAGAAGTCAAGCTCAGTCATCATTTTCATTGCTGTGCTCTCCACTGACGTTTCCTTTGATTCTGCATAAATAAACTTTGTTGTAATGTCTGAGGGAATGGCAGCCCACCATGCCCTTCCTTGGCTTGTGTGTTTTAGAAATGCGCTCCAGCAGTTTACTTAAGTGAAGCCAGCACCCTGTGATATTCCCAAGAGTTTTGTAAGTAAGTGCAGTGTTCTTAGCCTGTTCAGTAAAAAAAAAAAAAACAAAACTTCAAAAGAGAAAGCTATCTTCCTTGATTAAATCCATTTTAATGCACTCGTATGCATAAACTGCCAAGATTTTACCTATATTGGTTGGGTATTCTGCTGCAGCTTTGATTTGCAACGGTACTGTGCAAGGTTCGGTAACAAAATCAAGACTGAAGCCATGCTGTTTACAGCTTACATGCTATTCTTTTCCTTGCCCTTCTTACTATTGCTTTTACCAGTACCAATCAGCCATAGGATGTACCTATGTTCCTGTCAGCGTCAGCCCCATCAATAGTCTCAAGGGCAAGGTCTAAGGCTTTCTTTTATGTTTGGTTTCCCAGTCTGAAAGTACTTTGTGACTTCATGCTGCAGAATTCAGAGTAGCACCTCAAGCTACCTAGGTAATGATCCAGAGTGCAACTTGAACTTGGATCCCCAAGTGGCGGCCAATGCCTTTGCCCACAATTCTCTTTCAGAATTCAGTCAGTCTGTGTGTGTCCCATGTAACTGTACAGAGCAAAAAAAGCCCAGTGAGCAACATCACACATAGCTTGCTCTGCTGTCTGGTTTGTAGCCACAGCATCATCTATTTATCAACTTCAGCAAATTTATCGTCATCAGCCTGTTATCTCTGTGGCTACAGAAAGGCTGTGGTACGAAGGTCTTGAAGATGACATGGTGGTGTAAGCCATACCAAGACTGGGGATCCCTGTATCAATATGCCCATTTGAACTTGCTTAGTCCATTCTTTGGTCTCTGTATAATTGCAGTGTATGGCACAGCATCTGTTGTGTCTTATGGGGACATAAGATTGCCGCTGTTACATATTAAAGATGTTGTGTCACTCAATACTCATTTTCATAAATAAGATAGCAAACACATTGTCGTTACCAGCAGACAATGTATACTGTGCTGAAAGAATGTTACAGAATGTGCATTCCTGTCCTGAACACTATGGAAAAGTGCAGTGGTAGTGATGAAAGTGGCCTTTCCCATTTCCCCTAACAATGACTAAAAAGGATGTCATATGTCAGAGAGCTGGAATTACTTACAGATGCAGTAGATTGTGGAAACCACTTCTAAGTGTGTTGAAGTAGGGAAGGACTAAGCAGTTTGGAAGCACAAGAAAAAGATGTTTTCTCATCTTTTTTCTGTCCACAGTCATATTAAATTGTTTTTTGTTCTATTTTCCTAATTCTGTTAGGAACTCTGTTCTTCTCATGAATGGCTGTATCACATTCTCACTTCTGTACAGTTCCATTTGCTTTTTCTCTTCCACTGATAAGAGCTTAGGGTTTAGCAGTACGGGTCGGTTCTTGTGATTCCAGTTCTCCACACCCAAACTTTTTTTGTGATTTTCCCCTTGATACATTCTGCTCCTTCCCCTGGTGCAGTCTGCTTCTCACACGTTCAGTGCATTTATAGATACTTCGAACTCCTTGGGCATTATTCTGTCTGCCCCTACTGTCTTGAAAGTTTGTGTGCTGTAGGACTTTAGATGAGAGGTCTCGAAGAATGGCTTTGAATGCACATGCGTTAGGAAGGGGAGGTTCAGATGAACACTGCAGTAACAGAGCTAGGGGGCTGTTTTAATTCTCTTTGGGAGAGGTGGGTGTGAGTGCTGCTCCAGCCTGTTGTTGTATGCAGTCCCCAATGTAAGTGGACAGCTGGGGAGTCAAAAGCAAGATGGGAGGCATTGTTCTATTATCAATACCTAGCAAAAGAAACAGGCATGTCTTATGCCAATGAGACTTTGAGACTTTGGGAAATCTTTCTCTTGGGATATGAGCACCCTATGAGAAAGACTTTAAAGTGTCTTCCTTTTGGTTCTGGTTCTGGTTCTGGTATTGCTGATGCCTTCATTTGGAAGTTTCTCTGCAAGTACCAATCTAGAGTCAGTGCATATGTGAAGGAAAGTGAAAGAGAAAAGAAACAACAACTTTCAGGCCTATAATGTAGAAGACCTCTTCTTTTAATGTGGGTCTTCTTATGATATCCTTCATTCTTCTTCATCCTAAGACTGTCATGCTCCAGTCTTTGCTTCTGCTCTAAAAGCTGATGGCATACCTGCAGAAAGAAAGATGATGCCATCCTTTTGACCTGGCAAAGGGTGAAAATCATCCACTTGGCTTTCCATACTTTTTCTGGAGAAAGCAGAAAGGTTCCATAAAATTCATGATTCAGAAGAAGTGAGGTATAGAATTACCTGCAGCTCTCTAGTGTGAAAGGTGTGTAAATCTGCAAATACAGGGGAATTCAGTGAACAAGCAAATCCCTTTCTGTGAATGCTAATTCTGTACTACAGAAACCTGTGTTGCCTTTCTGGAACATCTCAGATACTTGGTAGGCCAGTAAAGATTTGCAATATGTTGTCAGCTGAAATTTGAGTCTTGTAAAACATGTCATTTAGTATGCATTGGTACTATCTTTAGGGTCCCAAAATATTGATTAATGAAATATCTGTTCCTAGGAGAATAAAATGTTATTTCTACCTTCTCTACAATCATCCCCACCTGAGGCCAGTTTTTTAAAAGTCCATGTGGTCTTTATTGTAACCGTGTGCACGCAAAACCCGGTGCTTACATACAGGCATGCTCTTTACAGTTTCACGTGCACCAAGCAGTAAATCTGGTATAGCTGGGCCTTAATGGGCATTGAACACTGTCCTCCATGGCATTCCCATAGGCAAAGTGGGAAAATCTGTTCTAGTTAAGAGTACTCTAAGGTGATCTGAATAACTTGTTAAAGAGCCATACTGAAAGATAAGATGCGAGACTAGTTCAATGCTGGCTTGCAGAGTGGGGTTCTGCAAGGGTGAGTCCTGAGCCCAGTACTGATCAGCATAGTCATTAGTAGACTGGCAGTAGCATGTCTGAGCTATGATAGATGGAGCAGGATTGCACACTCAAAAACATGAAACTGAATATTTGTGGAATGCTGTCTGAAGACTTTTTTTAAGAGCAGAAAAATGCTCTAGATAAACTTGAGCCTGCTTATGTATAGAAGATCTTCTGATATCAATTCCTTTTTGTTTAGTGATTGCATGAATGCACATTTATATTTGGGAAAATCTGCCCTTCGGTGAACATGTCACTTTGTAGGACTCAAAATAGTAAAAGATTCCCAGGCTAGCCTGAAATGAGTTAGTTTGGATACCCAGGAGTTATTTCATGGCAACATAGCATAAAGATAGTTTCTCATGAGCTGGTGGCAGAGGAACTGGAAGGGAATGGAGGATCTGAGCCTGTTAATTTTCTAGTAAATCCACATGAAAGACCATGATAAAACAGACAAAGGAAATGAACTATTGTTCTAAAATAAAAGTAATTGTGTTCCAAAATAAATTCCTGTAGTCATGTGAGGGAGTCCTTGTGAGTCATGGGGGAAATATCTGCACTCTGTATGGCCCAGGAGTGACCCACTTTGCTGAGGTGATGAATTTGGAGACTTTGATTCCTGTCCACAAAGATCTGCAGACAACTTACAAAGTCAGGTCAGAGAAGCAAGAAAATAGCCCACTTAGT